TTCAGAAAGAATAAAACAGTTTTATTTAAGAAAGGACTTGTATCGGTAAAGTTTCTTCGGAAATAATTTATACGGAAAATTAACTAACGAACGGAGACATAACAGTATACATAAACCGTCTACAAAGACATTGTGCACTTATGAATAAAAACAATGTAGAGTTAGTTTGACTTGGGCCTACTTTATGTGCATATGGCTGTAAGGCCCATGTCGATATCTGTTGTTTGTTTGTTTTTTAAAGATAATGTAAAGTAAAATCAAACAAATCAATGTACTACTGGATAAATATGTATACATAAACCGTCCATAAAAACATTGTGCACTTATGTATAAAAACAATGTAGGGTTAATTTGACTTGGGCCTACTTTATGTGACACACCTACTTTCTTGAGTTGTCATAATTGTTTTACTTCCTCCTTGTATTTTTTACTATAACGTAGCTGTTCAGCGCTGCCATGTTATCAGAAAGTGGAATTACGTTGCAAAGCAAAAGGGATATCAAAATACTGTTATATAATATCCAGAAAAGTGAGGAGAATGAACTGTGTCAAACTATACAAGTTTCCGTGAATGACGACCATAATAACTTTGCTTGTTTTTAATGATACTAATTTTAGATTTACTCCAGGAGTTAGCACAGTGAGTGAAGAAAATAAAAAGTGAACCAGCAATATCCAATCTATCCTATAATTCTCTGCTGGAGTTTACCCTGTCTCAGCCAGTTCTTTCTCTTGGTGGCAGATGCCTTACAGTGTTCACACCAGTGCTGATATCTTGCCTTGAATATGGCCAGTAGAATTGCTGTTCAATGTTAGTAGACATGCAGGTAACACCTTGGTTCCCTCCAGTCTTTCTGTTATGTACAAAGAACTCTATGGACCACTAGCTGCAGCACAGTCACAGAACCATGGGTTGGTGTTTATATTGACAGTACAGTACAGCACACCTTTCTGTACTTGTAAGTGACTGTATAAATACCACATGCTTCCAAGCTATATTTCTCTGTTTGTTCAGGCTGAGCTTTACCTTTCTGCACAGCAAGAACTATACTTTGTGGAGCTCCTGAAGTGTTACTTGTGGTGTCCATCCACTATTGAAATTTACCACTTCGAGTCTTGATACTGATACAGTGGAAATGTTTTCAATTCCCACAAGGTGTCCAGGATCAAGACATTCAGCAAACAGATAGTCTCACAGTGAGGTGAGACAGTCCTTCTGCATTTCCATATTGTGGTCCTAGACAAGGTCATATTCTTACAATGTTGTTATCCAAAATGTTATCACCCCTTCAAAGATTTTAAATTTCATTAAGTATTTCAGCAAAACATGGTCCACCCAGACAGTGAACCTTCTACCATATAAGCAGTGTCTGTAGTAATTGATTCATTTTGTGGAAAACAAAGTCTAATAAAGAGTAGAGTCAAGGCAACAATTGTAAACATCATTAATATTCGAACATTTCAGAATTATACATATATTCCATTATCAGCAAATCTATGAGAATAAACAGTAGAAAAGCTCTTCAGTGTAGTGAATTAACACTGAAAGATATAATGAAATTGTGTTAGGAAATTTAAATATTCATCTAAAAAGCTATTTGAATAAAGCAAGGGGGAAAAGGTTGGTATTTCTGTTAAGGCTTGAGTTTTCATTTGTAATAAGTAAAGTTTCTTTTATTGAAAGCTTATAATAATTAAAACCATAAGTTAGGATTTCACAGCTTTCTATATTCAAAGTTTGAGAGCAGATCTCTTAGAATCTCCCAGGTTCTCATTAGCACATAAGCAGGAGGTTTTGCCAATATAGGTGGACTTGCAGCTATTATATTTATATACAATTTTTGAAGTGGAACATTTTTAATTCTAAAAAATTTACACATACAAAATGATTTAAAGATAATACAGAGTTTAACCTGGGAGTAGATAGACTTGAGTTACAGAACACAATAAAAAACCGTCCCATGTTTTTCACCATCGCAACTCAAAAAACCATAGTATATCTATTAAAAACACAGTCATTTTAAACAAAGAACCCAACATAAACAAACGAAAATCAAGGAATCCATCTTAATTGACCAAAACAACCCTACTCTAAACCAACACCCCGGGGTGCCTAGATACCACTTCTAAGTTTCACAACATTTCCGGTCATGTGACTTCTATGTTCAATACTGTATATATATATCCGTGTCAGTGTAAATTACTTGTACCTGATGATGACAAAACGTTGTCGAAACGTTGTACATTTGCTGTTGTATTAAAGTTTTTCTTCATTACCCATTCAAGCCGTCTCCAGCCATTTATAGCAGTTGTTGCTTTGACTAACTGCCTTTCCCCTAGCGTATTAGTTCAAAATTAAGTACGGCCATGCGCAGATACTCCCCTGTGTATAGCTTGGCGCGAAATATCTGAAACAAAACAAACAAATCCAAAGAACTGTATTTGGGAGGAAGAGGTCTCAGAGTACCTGACCCTCCTAGGTCACAAAGACCTAAATTCCGATCAGGAGATCAGGCATAACTGTATTTATACTGCATCAGATCATGCTTAATTAACCATTATTTTATATATACATAAACAGTAGAATAGTTATAGGTACAGTGTAGCTCAAAAATAACAAGACGCACCATAAATAATACGATTTTTTATATATGTAAATATATAAAGATTTACTTAAGAGTTTCATCAGATTTCTTTTCAATGAAAGTTTTAATCTTGTTGCTTTTACATTGATTTTTAATGTACAACTCTTACAAACAACTAAATTGTTTGTGTAAGGGAGTGACAGTATAACTTATGTCTACAACTTGTACTTCCGACGGACAATACAGTATAACTTATGTCTACAACTTGTACCTTCCGACGGACAATACAGTATAACTTATGTCTACAACTTGTACCTTCCGACCGATAATACAGTATAACTTATGTCTACAACTTGTTCCTT